TTCATCTATCTATATCTATCAATATACCTCTCAGTCTATTTATCCGTGTGTGTGTGTGTGTGTGTGTGTGTGTGTGTGTGTGTGTGTGTGTGTATATATGTAGGCATGCATGCATGCATGTATGCATCCATGCATGTATGCATGAATGCATGTACGTATGCATGTATGTATGTAGGTAGGCGGGTATATGTATGTGTGTATTTGCATGCGTAAATAGGTACATTTATACATGTATATCCCTTCATGCAGACGTACAATACATACGATTTGTAAATACAAACATTAATATATGCATACATAACTACCATTAATGAGAGAGAGAGAAACAGACAGATAGACAGAGACAGAGAGAAACAAACAGACAGACAGACGGAGAAGCGGGAAGGTGACACACGCACGAGCACGCAAAAGTAATGGAGAGAAAACGAGTGATTTAACAATTTCTTCTTATTTTTTTTACTGCGATAATGATTTTGATTTCGTCACATCACACAAAGTACATAGAATAAATTAGAATATCTTCTTCCATGAGATATGTGTTATTACTTTCGGAAGCAGCTTTTTTCAGTATTGATATCATCGTATTGCATCTGATATGAATAGCTGAAAATGCATTTAGACACTTGTTGAAAAAAAAAAAAAAAAAAAAAAAAAAAAAAAAAACATGATGAAAATGGTCTTTTTGCAAAATTGCAGATTTCTTGGAATCACATATCCCCTTCTTCCTACATTTTTCTGCTACTGTTTCCTTATTCTGAATGTTTTCTCCACCAAAAAACGCCTTTATATTCCCTCGTTCGAACAACTCTTTTAACGTGGCATTATCTTGCTTCCACGAAACCAGTTCTGAAAGGAGGGTGCGGCAAAACAGATCTAAAAATGACCCTTAACTTCCCGCTCTCGTGTAAACTTGTTCAGATTTTACCCGTTTGGATTTTTTCTTCTTCTCTTTCTCTCTCTCTTTTTGCTTTCTCTCTTTCCTTCTTTCTTTAGTTTCCCCTTTTCTTTCCCGTTTTCTTTGAACTGTGTGGTCTCCCGCCCCTTTTACTCGTTGCTTATTTTGTTTCCTTTCTATATTTTTTCTGTTTTTCCTTTCTCTCTCTCTTTCTTTCTTTAATGTATGCTTTCTTTGTTTCTTTCCTCGTTTATCGTCCATACAAGGAGAACAGGATTCAGGGAAAGGGAGAATAAAAGTTAAAAAAAAAAACGAAACACTGAAACAAAAATACACAACTTTTAAAAAATAAGAAAGAAAAACGTAAGATATGAAAATAGTTAAATCGAGAAGCAGAATTAAATGAACAACAACTTAACAAAGTAAAGAACATATACATTACTGATAAAATTATTAAAAATAAAGCGGACAGAACAAGACAGTCGTAGACAAGTAGGACAAGGAAACGAAAAAGAGAATTGTTGAAAAAATAAATAAAATAAAAAATCATGATATTAAAAAGATAAATAAATAAATAAACGACAGTAAGATCTTGAATAAAGTGGGGAAAAGTAACACATTAGTAAATATGATAATCTACAGATTGGTGGTAGCACTTGTAATATAGTAATACGTACTGCAGCACTAACGGCTACAGTAGGATTATCAATAGAACGAACTAATATTATCGTTGTAGATATAGTAACCACAAGGGTGACCATAATCACAATAACAATAACAACTGTTATGAGAAAAGAATAATAAGTTCATATATTACTATCATCGGCATAATCATCATCATTATCATTTTCATTATCATTATGAGAGCCAGCGTAAGTGTCAGTATCATTATCATTATCTTTAATATCATCATTTTCTGATAAACACAACACTGATATAGAGTAAAGATAATGGTAATGATGTTGATAATAATGTCTGAAGCCCTTCGTGAATCAGAATAAATGTTAGTGGTTTGTACCAGTGACGTTATTTTTATAAAAGGAGGCGCTGGAGGTACAGGTGGGTCTGTGTTTGCGTGAGGTGGCACCGTGGCATCTCTCAGCCCCATACCACACCCGGGCGTCAGTGTTAGTTACAGTGCCACACGGGGAGTGCCAGAAATCTTCAATCTCCTTCTTCCTTTTACGTTCCCGAATGTAGAATTTATGATTCTCTTATTTTTTTCATTCATAATCATGTTTAATTGGTGGTATTTTTTTTTTCTCTCTCTCTCTTTCTTTATACCGTTATCCGTGATATTTTTTGAATTAATTTGTCTAGAAACAGAAAGCAGAAAATCGTGTAACAAGTGAGGGAAATTCTCTTAATAATGGTGGTTGTCTCTCGTGTGGTTTCCGACAGGCATTTGTTCTCTGAAAACATGCATACCAGAATGGGAAATAAATGGGAGAGAGCGGAAATTGTGGGTATGGAAAGTGGATAGTGCGCGAAAGTGACAGCGACAGACCACAATATATATTTTTTTTTTTGCAAACCGCCTGAAAATACTGAAAGGAACGAAAGAGAGAGAAAATAAAACGTACTTGGATGTTGTTTTTTTCAGGA